ACTGCACTTCCATCTCCCCCCCTCCCCCCCTCCCTGTATGTGTTTCATGCAGAATATAGGGGTCAGGCATAATAGGGGTTAAGTCCCAAACGTGCGCTTGCCATTGAAGTGCTGGAGTCAAATGTTGGAAATAGATACAACGTTGCAGATTAGAGATAGAGGGATATTTAGTAACATATGACAAGAAAGATTAGGGCAGATCCAGCTGAACTCCGAATGTTATACAACAGAGAACGATGAAAATAAATATTCCAGCGGGCTCGGGGGCTCGTGTAAACACGACTATTCTTAGCCCGCGGGATCTGAGCTGAATAATAGAATCAAAATAGAAGATTTCATTTTCTAAGTCCGTCTTTTCTTATTCGTAACACAGAGATGAGAGTTCCCGAAATAATACAAAACAAAAGTCTAGAGCAGGGGTAGGCAACCTTGGCACTCCAGCTGTGCTAAAACCACAAATTCCACCATACCTTTGCCTCTGGGAGTCATGCCTGTGGCCGTCAGAGCCTTGCAATGCCTCATGGGATTTGTAGTTCCAAAACAGCTGGGGTGCCGAGGTTGCCTGCTCCTGGTCTAGAGCAAAGAAACACAAATAACACGGAAGGAGAGACTCGTGGTGGTAAGAATGGAAGATGGTGGAAACGACCAGGAGACCAAGAGTGGACATCAACAGTCCAATCATGTAGCAGAAAGGAGACCAACGGTGGTGCGGCACCAAGATCCTGGCACACTGGGGACTCTGGGGTGTAAGGTGGAGCTGCATCAACTATTAGGGTGCTGCTGAGTGGATGGAACCTTTCAAATGGTAGTGGGCAACATATAATGGGGTTCATCGGCACTAGGCTGCTCAGGAGCAGGAGTGCCTTGTGTGCATGGTGAAGCTTCCCCCAGCCTGCCAAAGCTCCGCCTCTGTCCTTCCTAAGCTCCGCCCCCATCTCGGTAACCAAGCTGGTCACTGGTGAGGCATCAAGATCCTCAGTCTTTTTTTTTGATTGGACAGCTTGGACCATTGGCGCTTTCCCGTTGGTCCAAGCCATCCACAGAGCTCACGCCTCTAACACAGAGAGTAGAGGCTGTGACAACTCTTGCCTCACTAGGTTAGGTTACACAAGCAGTGCGGGAGCCCGCTGCTGTGCAACCTAACTACCTGTCGAAAGCCGCGCTGCCTGTAATTAACACACAGCGCTCCGTCCATGACAGGTTACACAGCGGGGGGAGGGAGAGGATTTCCCTGCTGTGTTACCTGATAGAAGCCGATCTGAATGGAGAAAAAGCTGTCAGCTTCAGACTTGAAGCTGACAGCTTTTTCCTCTATAATACTAGGTGAGGCTCCGCCCCTCCTGCCTCCCCTGACCGCACTTCCCTGCTCAGGAGGAACGTTTTATGTTGGGGATCATCAGCAAAATGACTTCAGTGTGTGTTGGGTGAGGAGCGCTTTGTACAAACAGACCTAAGACTATGTGTTTAATATTTGATGAATATAAATACTGATTGTCAGAGAAACATACAGCCAACACGTCTCAGGTGATCAGGATGCCCCTTCTTCAGGGCTATAGAGCAAAATGCAAAATACAAACAATGTGACAGGATGCAACAGCACACCGAAGATATATGTTATAGCAAGCATCCTTCAGGGCTTGTTCACACCAAATCCCGGCCAGATCTGGACGAGTTTCTGCATATGCAGTGCAGTGCGTTTTGACGCGTTTTCGATGCGTAACGGTCCGTTTTTTTAGCCTAAAATGGGCTTTCAGGTGTAGTCCAGTGTGTTCCAGAGCATTTGCATTTGTTTTTCATGCATGTGCATGTGTTTTGGTGCGTTCCAGACCAGAAAAATGAGTGCCTGCTGCAGTTCTTCCACATGCACTGGAAATGAACGCTGTGGTGTGCACTAGAGCCCAAAATACCAGTGGAATACATTGGATGTATTTTTGATGCGTTCTGTAACTGCTCTGCATCTGCTCCACACTTGGTATGAACAAGCCCTTAAAGGAGAACTACGGGGTTAAGGCTTTTCCCATAGTTCTCCTTAGGGTAACGGGAGGACACAAACTAGCGTCCTCCCGTCACCCTAAGCTCAGTATATAGGGAGCTACAGCTCGCTATATACTGAGACGCCGCAGCTGAAGCGGATACCGACAATTGTGCCGGGATCCGCCCAGCTGCGTGACTGACAGCTGGCTCTGCCTATCTAGATGCTGTACCGCCCCCTCCCCCGTCCGTTCCGCCAGTCAGCGCTGGAGGATTGGAGCGGGGAGGGGGGAATCCAGCCCCTCCCATGTCACGGCTCTCTGCAGGGATAGATCGAGAGGTGAGCGAACGCCGGTATGTGTTTATCCCTGACAAATCATTTCATCAGCTCTGCATTTTTCCAGTTCAGTATTTTTTATATATCAAAGCCGCATTTAAACCCCGAAAAAGAAAAATGAAGGGGTTTTTTTTTTGTCAGGGGTGTAAAGTGACCCTTCAAAGGTAGGACTGTGTGTCATCACCAGCCTCGAAATCCCTGCTTAGCCTTCTGGGTAATATTGTGAAATGTCGGGAACTAAGTGAGCTTTATATTACTGTAGCCACCATCACCTTCCGTGAGGTGGCTACTAGACATTTAGTGGTAGTGGTCAATCCCTGCACTGGCTTCCAATAGCCCAAAGGATAAAATTCAAAATATTAACATTCACTTATAAAGCCGTCCACAACTCCGCCCCCGGCTATATCTCCAACCTTGTCTCAAAGTATCACCCTAATCGTACCCTCCGCTCATCCCAAGACCTCCTGCTTTCCAGCTCCCTCGTCAACTCCTCCCATACTTACCTCCAGGACTTCTCTAGAGTCTCTCCCATCCTCTGGAACTCTTTAAACCAACCTGTCCGTCTATCTCCCACCTTGACTGCCTTTAGGCGTTCCCTAAATACTCATCTCTTCAGGGAAGCCGATCCTACCTCAACCTAACCGCTCGACCATTCATCCCCACACAGCTCCCTCCTCATGTATCACTGGCCCCTCCCTCTTAGATTGTAAGCCCTCAGGGGCAGGGCCCTCCTTACCATCTTGTCTTGAATTGTATTGTAACTGTAATGTCTTCCTTATATTGTAAAGCGCTGCGCAAACTGTTGGCGCTATATAAATACTATGTAATAATAATAATTATAATAGCAAGGGCTGTAGTCAGCCTGGCTGGATTATAGTGGCAGTTATCTGGTTAATTCCAGGTGTCAATGTTGCCTGTACCTACCTGGGCGGAGTGTGACTCTGTCATATTGCGGGGCAGCCAATGAGAGGCACTGTAGTGTATGTACAGTACAGCAGCCAATCAGTGGGCTTCTCTCAGCCAGTGGTGCATGCTGGGATAGGGCGCATATACTGGAGGGATTTGCCATGTGCTCAGACTAGCCGGGACCGGCCATGGATTAGGGCTGGGTGCTGTTCAGCCTGCACCCCCGGGCTAGCTAGCCTAAGGCCTGGGGGTGGGCATAGGCTGGTGTGAGGGAAATGTTTCCCTGAGGCCTCCAACATGGAGGAGGTCTGTGTTGCTGGAGAGGAAGAGGCCCGGGACCGAGGATGGCTGTTGAAGTTTCCTGAAGCCTGAGGACTGCAGGAGCATAGCCGGTGTCTCTCCTGTTGAGGATCTGAGTTCATCCCGCCCATCAGCTAGTTCCCAGGTCTGGTGAGTCTGGAGCTTATGTCTGTGACACTAGGGTCGCCACCCTTTCTTCAAGCGAAACCCGAACACTCTAGCGACGCACGGACAGTTTTTGGGGAGAATGAGTCGTGTCTTATTCATGTGTAAATAGCTCCGCCCATTCATATGTAAATATCACAGTTGAGACTATTTTCAGTGGGGGGCCAGTAGCCCCTATCTTAATTTTGGTTGCCCCTGTCTCCCTGACATCTTGTGTCCGGGTTCCTGCTGCCATGAAACCCGGACACAGCTTTCAAAACCCGGACTGTTCGGGTGAATCCTGGACAGGTGGCAACCCTATGTGACACCCTGGAAGCTTAGAGTCCCTATAGCCTCTCTCCCCAGTGAAGATGTTCAATAAAATGTTATTCAGCATTATCCTACTGGAGAGGACATCAGTCTGTGGGCACTAGAAGAAGGGACGTTAGTGCTAATGGGTGGGCAGCTGAAGATCATACCCCTAGACCAGTGGTTCTCAACCTGTGGGTCGCGACCCAAAAGTGGGTCGCAACCCAGAGTTGAGGGGGTCCCCACATGCCTTGTGTTGCTCTAGGTAAGAGGCTCCTCAGCCACCTCCAAGCACAGCAGTGTCAGTTCTCCTAGATAGCGCTGCAGCAGCAGTGGCCGGAGAGGATCAGAGAGAGGGGAGCAGGTGGGGGTGAGTGGAGGGGAGTGCTTGATCACCTCAGAGCCAGCACTGGGCACCACAGAGCCCACACTGGTCACCACGGAGCCCGCACTGGTCACCACGGAGCCCGCACTGGGCACCACGGAGCCCGCACTGGGCACCACGGAGCCAGCACTGGTCACCACGGAGCCCACACTGGTCATCACGGAGCCCGCACTGAGCACCACGGAGCCCGCACTGGGCACCACGGAGCCCGCACTGGTCACCACGGAGCCCGCACTGGGCACCACGGAGCCCGCACTGGTCACCACGGAGCCCCACTGGATGCCAACAGAGAGTCCCACTAGCCACCTGAGAGCCCGCATAGCCTCCCGAGAGCCCGCACAGATACTAGTATTGGTGAATCCCTACATTTTACGGTTGGGGGTCACCGCAACTTGGCAAATGTTACCAAGGGATCCCAGACCTAGAAAGGTTGAGAACCGCTGCCCTAGACAGACTAGAGATGAACCGGGCAACCAGCGGCTCCTTCGGGGGTGAGCGCTACGTTACCAGAAATCCAAACTGGCATCTGAAAGAGATTTGTGTGTTTGTAAAGTTGCCTTCGGGGGACTTCTGTGTCCGTCGTATTTCTAAAGCAGTGAAAATAATCCCCCCAAATCTAGTCTGACGGCAGATGTGTCCAGTGCATAAAAACATGTCACTGGATGCACAAAGCCACGAGAAGGTAAAATGTTCCAGGTGATAGCCGTGTCACGTTCGTATCACGCTCCGGTATGTGCCCAATTCATCACATACATGGAAGAAAACACATGTGGACACGTAGCACATTATATATCACATTATAATCTTTAGTACAATATTTGTTTTACAGATAAACATGAAAAGCCCAAATAACCTTCAGTATAAATCAGCGTAAATACATCCAAGGTTCATACAAATAAAAGGTGTGCAAAGTCTTTCTGCTCAGCAAGGACCCTCGCTCTCTGGGGGGATGGAAGCCAGTGCAGGGATTGGCAGAGGGTTAGGGGGATGGAAGCCAGTGTAGGGATTGGCAGAGGGGGGCGGGGGATGGAAGCCAGTGTAGGGATTGGCAGAGGGAGGTTGCAGACACTGAGCAGTTGGTTAGGTGAATGAGTCTAGCAGCAGCATTCATTATAGACTGAAGGGGGGAGGAGCCTGTGTAGAGGTCGGCCAATGAGGACGGAGTTACAATAGTCAAGACGAGAGATAACAAGGGAGTGGATGAGCAGCTTTGCGGTGTCATTGGTGAGGAAGGGGCGTATTTTGGAGATGTTAGGAAGGTGAAGGCGGCAAGACTTGGATAGGGATTGGATGTGGGGCAGAAAGGTGATGTCCGAGTCGAGGATGACCCCTATCACCTTGGCATGGGAGGTGGGGGGGATAGTCAGATATGTTAATGCTCCTTGCCAGGTCTCTAGCTTTGACTGCGCAGGGGGCATGTCAGACCTCTGAAGAGAGACCACTGCTTCCATACAGAGAGTAAGGGTCTTTCTCTGCAGCATGCTGGCAGGGGATGGGCTGTTCTACTCAGGCTGTGGCTACTTTCTAAAGACAATGACCTGTAAGACTTTTGTTTTGATGCTCCCGGAATGTATTTAGCTGAAAGTTCATTTGGCCTTTAAAATACAACAAAAGGTTCCCCTGTCCCTTTGTGTTTATTTCTGTGTTTTCCTCTGTACCAGCAGCACCGTGGGCCTGTACTTCCCTCGCCTCCCTTTTGTCTTTTTCTTCTTGGTATTATATTGTTACTATGTGGTAACATAATAACAGTGTAATCTCCATAGAAGGAGCCCCCCGGGTCATGTGGTATGATGAGCCTCTCATGTGCTTCTAGCAGGTGAAAAGTCGCAACACCTAAAATCAGCAAGTCAATCAGGTGTGAGAATCGCAGGCGGGAAAATCCGTATAATATGTGCAGATCGGTCAGAGGAGTCGTAATCCTGTTCAGCCGGCTCTGTGATCCAGGCACCTGTGCCAGACAGCACAGCAAAGTAAAGCCTGAACTGCATTGTGGGATGTGGGAGGGAAGTGCCTGAACTCCAATTCAATTTGCATGCTGTGTATGGCTCTGGAGAGCAAGCAGAGGTAGGTACCGACCACTCTTATACGGCATGTGGTATTCAACAGTCACTCTTACAAGGCAGTGCAATACACTGGCCACTCCCATAAGTCTGTTATATATACTGGCCACTCCCATAAGGTCATGGTTTATAACAGACACTATTATAAGGCAGTAATGTATACTGATCACTCTCATAAGGCCATGGTATATAAGAACCAGTCTTATAAGGCAATAGTTTATACTAGCCACACCTATAGGGCAATGCAAAACACTGGCCACTCCCATAAGCCATGGTATATAACAGCCACTTTTTTAAGGCAGTGGTAACCAACCGCTCAGTGTCTGCAACCCTTCTCTGCCAATCCCTGCACTGGCTTCCATCCCCCACACCCCTCTGCCAATCCCTCCACTGGCTTCCATCCCCCACACCCCTCTCTGCCAATCCCTGCACATCCCATGCTCGCCTCCAGGACTTCTATAGAGTTTCTCCCATCCTCTGGAACTCTCTACCCCAACCTGTCCGCCTGTCTCACACCTTGACTGCCTTTAGGCGATCCCTAAAGACTCATCTCTTCAGGGAAGCCGATCCCACCTCAACCTAACCACCGAACCATTCATCCCCACACAGCTCCCTCCTCATGTATCACTGGCCCCTCCCCTTTTAGATTGTAAGCCCTCAGGGGCAGGGCCCTCCTTACCATCTTGTCTTGAATTGTATTGTGATTGTAATGTCTTCCTGATATTGTACAGCGCTGCGCAGACTGTTGGCGCTATATAAATCCCGTATAATAATAATAATTTGCAATATTAATATCGCGCGCTGCGTTTCTTTTGTTTTTATTTCCATTTAAGCGCCCCCCGAAACTTCTGCACAATAAAAGTCTGTTTATTTACAGCTCGTCGCGTTGTTTCTTTCTCCGTCTTTGAAGACGCACGCAGTTTTCTGCCTCGCTGTGAACTCTTTATTTATGCATGCGCTCCACCAATTAAATATTTATTTAATTACAGCTGCGATTATGAAAGCAAAAATTCCACCGGCGAGGCAAACGATGGGGAAGTTGTATAATCACACGTAGCCGTGAAATACCGCCGGCTTACAAGCGTCTCACTTGTGTGAATGTGAGACGACGATGATGATGATGGAAAGATACAAGTCATGTGAAAGCGTCAGGATCGGCACTCATAGCCATAGTCACAGCTGGGAGAGAGAGCGAGGAGAGACAGCCAGGAGAGAGAGTGAG